GCAAACACCTGCACAGCCACATTTGTGTTTGTTCTGCACCCACAGATCCCTAACCGTGGTTTATACTGCAACTATACTGAGTTGAACATAGTTACAGTTTACAGTAACCTAGATGTAAGGGGTGATGGGGCCGCAGAAATTCTCTGACAACTATGATTGGGTTCTCCTGCTTGTGTGGCATGGTGCAGAGTCTTGTTGCCAGACATAGGGTCTTCCAACAGTCACCCACTTTACCTAGGGCAGTAGTACCTCCTCAAAGCACTAGATGTAGGCTACCGTGTTGAGTCTAAGGCTTTCACCAACAAATTCGGAAGTTCTTTTCTTATCAGAACGGGTGAGTTTTCCGAGCTGCCGTACCTTAGATTCATCCAACTGTTTCCAAATCCTCCGCACTGACACCGAAAGACTCTAAAATGTTATTATTGGAGATTCCGGCGCGAATGCTAAACAGTACACCATGCTGTTTCCAAATTTCTGGCGGAATGAATTGTGTCATGGTGCTCTTTTTCTCACGGTGTCAAACTGACCCTGCTACAATATGCAGTCCAAAAACAAACAACACGCATGTGCGAAATTAGAAATATAAAATGACGCCAATTTAGCCATCGCAACCTGTGTATACATACATATATATATATATATATATATATATATATATATATATAAAATATAAATAAAAGTCAACACTTAGGGCGATAGGCTGTTTCATACTAGATGCAATCGTCAGGCCTGACGATCGCGTCCAGCATGAAAGCCTGTCGCCTCTAAGTGTTCACTTTTATATTTACACACACTCTATCTCTGATAGTGAGCACTTTATCCCATAAATATAGCACACCTTAAGAGTATATTTCTTTATATAGTTGAATGGACAAACTGCTGTTCGTCTGAGGATCGCATAAGCGTGAAACCCACGGTCACAAACTCATATCCATTCAACTAAATATGTTAGCTCTATAACTCATATTGAGCTCTTTCCAATAAGCACTGCACATATATAAAATATATATAGAATTTATATATATATATATATATATATATATATATATCAGGAAAAATTTGGAAAAAACAAACAAAAATCCTTAAATGCAATTATGTTGTTTAAAATGAATGAAATGTCGACGTCTGACGTTTCGGTTTAATAAACCTTTTCAAGACAATATTCATTAAAATACAATTCAGTTCAATTTGACAAAGACGATGGACATAAAAACAAGTCTTATCCAAAACAGATAACTTGTCTTGAAAAATGATCAGCTTTCCGTTTAGCATGGTCAAAGCTGATCATTTTAAAATTTTAAACAACGTAATTGCATTTAAGGAGTTTTGTTTGTTTTTTTAAAATTTTTCCACATTCTTCTATCGGATCTATATCCATTTACATTTGCTTACATATATATATATATATATATATATATATATATATATATATATATATATATATATATAAAAAGCAATTAATGGATTTTTTTTTCCGACTTTATTTCTTATATAAATAAAGTTATATTTAGTGGTTACGCTTGCTTGAGTTGCCAAGTTGAGTTGGGTTTTTTTTAATATATAAAACAGGGCAATTGCGACCTATCGGCCCGATCTATTAAGGAAAATAGAGGCACATTTTCTTTCACAAGACTTTCGGTTGACCAGGCTGGTAAATTTCTCTTTAAAAATTTAGATGTCTAATCAAATAAATGCACCCAGTAAATATCACGTTTATAGTACTCGAGAAAACTTAAAGAAAAAGCGCCCTCCGGATTCGAACCTGTGCATCCATTTGCTGGAGTAACCAACATCCGATTCAGCGTGCTTTTTACTGCTCGGATACGAAGACCTTCACAATAAAGCAAGTTTGCCGAGCATCTATTAAAAAACGGGTATACAGTAAAAATAAAGTTTCAAGTAATAAAATATGTGTGTGTGTGTGTGTGTTAAGGAAGATAGAATTTTACAACATATGTTAAAATTTGTACCGTTCTGTTTTTATCAGTAACCGGTCGCTAATGTATAATGTCATTATTGAATTAGCTGAGAATGATTGAATTTAAATAAAGCAAAACCATTGCCTAAGGACATGGTTATCATGATAGGATTATTCGTTTTCTCTTTCCTCTTTGGCCAGATGAAGTCTTATCTTTGTAGATCAGGTGTTTGAAGGAAACAACGTATAAGGATACTTAATATGTTATATTAATGTATTTGCTTTTGATTTTATATACATATATATATATATATATATATATATATATATATATATATATATATATATATAAAGAGAGAAGACCGATATTAGAGAAAATTATACATGATACTTACTGTATGTATATTTCGTTGAATATGACAGAAGAATATTTTGTGAGGTTTTTTTATATTCAGTTTGTCTAGTGTCGATACAGTTTTTTTTTGAGGCTAAGTGTGTCGAAGAATTTTCCGTATTATTGTAAAAACGTTTGATTCCATTGGTGAAGTTGAATTAAAAAGAATAAAAACTTGTAATTCCAACGGATAATTTATTCTCAAAACTGATATTTTGGAAAGCTTTTTGTAATCCTTGATCACTCTTGAAAAATAAATGAAACAGTGATGAAGCTACATTGTATAAGTTATAAATTCAAAATAAATATTAAAAAATTCGATCGAATTGAGTTCATGAGACATGCGTAAGCTGAAAGCGTGACAATTGCTTAAAGAAAGAAATGTTATTTCCAAACCAAAATAGAAAAAAAATACTCTTAGTTTTTCGTATTTTCCGTTGAAGTAGGGAAGATCGTCGTTTTTTTCTTTTTTTGTTCATTTTTATTTATTTTTTTTTTTTTTGCTGTTTTTTGTTTTTTGTTAATTTGAATTTATAACTTATACAATGTAGCTTAGTCAACGTTTCATTTATTTCTCAAGAGTGATCAAGGATTGCAAAAAGCTTTCCAAAATATATCTGTTTTAACAATAAATTATCTGCTGGGATTACAAGTTTTTATTCGTTTTAATTTTCCGTATTGTTTATTGTCTCGGACGCATTCGGTTACTTTATTAGTGAATTACTTATATTCTCACAAACACAATGTAGGAAACAACACAAATATACTATAAGTCTTTGGTACCTCGAAAAATGTCACCCTCACACCATTGAAAATGAAAAGAGTTAGCCGAAAGCGCTTGACTGCAAACAATTCTTGCACACACTTGGCCTAAAAAACACCGTAAAACACTATAAAAACTGAATTTTAAAAAATTACTAAATATTACTACGAACAATTCATAAAAGAAGGATTGCTGTCCGTATATATATATATATATATATATATATATATATATATATACCGCAGGTAACAGCATAATTGTCCATCCTATAAAATTTTTAATATCTAAAAAAAATACTAAACTTATTGAGTTTCTTTTTTCCGGGTTTTCAGGTAAGCCATTTAGCCATTTGTCGTAAGAATCACTGAAAAACCCTTTGAATTATTCAGCTAGAAAGGGAACACGTTAAAATAGTTTTGTGTCAACCCCACTGTCTTCCTAAATGAGCAATAGTCTGAGGAAAAAGATCATTTAGTCCTTAAGTAACGGTACCAACATTCATACACTTCCATCTTCAAAATCAATTCAAAAACCAGCAAGAGAACGGTAAATAAGGTTTTAAAAAGAAGGAACAGTAGAGAGGAAAACTGGATCAGGATGTCACAACAGGAAGAGGGATCATCATTTTAACTTAGAGCTAAAGAGATCAATTAGAAAAGATCCAACTCAGTCCATAAGACGTTTGGCACGTGGGAGAGAAGTTTCATCTGTGACAGTTCAAAAAGCAGTGAAAAAAGACTTGAAGATGAAATGCATTCGTATTGCTCAGAGTAGAGTCCAATATTGTTATCAAAACTTCGGTGATGGATATTTAAGTTTTTTTTTCATATATATATATATATATATATATATATATATATATATATATATATATATATATATATATATAAATGAATACAAATATCCCACGTCGATAGCACGACTCAGAGTTTCATGTAATATATATATATATATATATATATATATAAATAATGGTACTCGTTTGGAAAAACTGGATAGCTCAACTTGCAGTAGAACAAATCGGTACCAGAAGAAAAATAGGGAATAAAAAAAAGAAAAAAAACAAGAACATTAAACCAAAGCGAAAACAATCGTCCAGTGTTCAAGCTCCAAGTCCAAAGAAAAAAAATCCAAAATGACTAAAAAGACAATCAGGTAAAGTGCTCAATACACTAAGTAGAGCAAAACCTAAAATAATCCTAAGGAGCCAAGCAAACATACCTAGGTTTCACCTAAACGGATCTTCAGGATAATCCTGGCTGGGGATTACCCTAAAGATCCGTTTAGGTGAAACCTAGGTAGGTTTGCTTGACTCCTTAGGATTATCTTATATATATATATTATAGGCAACCTTATAGGCTAATATTCGTGGGTAACTGAAAAGGTGAAAAACATTCTGATATTCGTTACTACCTCGGAAAATGAAATACATCTTCATGCTAATAATGTTTTTTATTGATATAACAATAAAGACATATTGCATTTGTCAATATGTACGCAGAGATATTCTGCAATTCAAGTTACTTATTTTCGATTGACAATTTGTGGAAAGTAAAAAACTTGTATCCCATAATGCTTTGCACGTCAGAAACATCACTTTGGTTTTATTGCGCATGCCCACGTTCCATCAACTTTTGGCGATGAAATATGTCTATGCATGGACAAGCATGAAAAAATATAGAATGACCGTGCGTGTATGTGATTGATTCATTGATTGTTTGATCAACTCATTGCAGGTTAGTCAGAAAATATTTTTAGATTATAAGAATTATTTTGGAAGATAACGATTTACTGATATAAGTCTTATTAATTAACCCATAGCCGGGGTATTTACGGTTAAGCGAATATAACAAACCCGACTGGAACTCTGTTTTCAGATTTCCAGTTCCGAACTGTTATCCCTTAGATCACAGGCACATTCAAGCTTACTGCACCTGTTACTATCAAACGGTCACCCATGTGGGTACTGGCTAGGCTCGATTTTGCTTAACTTCGGTGTTCATACAAGAACCGGTGTTTCAACGTGATGGAGCCATAAGCTGTGTCAGTGTGTGTGCCAAAACCGATTTATTGATCTATAGAGCCGGGAAGGGATATTTCTTTTGAAGGTGCAATTAAGTGTAATTTTAAATTATTACAAGTAGAAAACAATAAAGTTTTAATAATAATTGTATAATATATATTATATATTGACCATATAAACAAATTTAATCAATTTAAATGTTCTCAAAGCCGTTAAAGTCTGAGTCACCAGATCCGTGAGTTGCTAAATCAAAAATATTTCTCATTAGGTGGGAAGCTGCGCCCCCAAAGGCACGAAAGTTGCATATGTTTCAGAGTAAAATATTGCCAATGAAATTAAGCATTGACATAATAGCAGTCCAATAAATTAATGCATTTTTTTCATCTTTTAGACAAACATTTCGAGGTTTTCTTTTTCAAGCAATAACAAGAAAAAATTGAAAAAATTTAAATTGTTTCTAAAATCTGGAGGCGATTTTTCGTGGATTACGTACTATACATATACGGTTCGTCACTATCCACTGCTTTCTGTATTGTACGCAGATAATGACAGCATCATATATATATATATATATATATATATATATATATATATATATATATTAAATTGTTCAAGTCTAGGTTCAACCGTTATCTCCAACACATATCCCCATAAACTGTGCCTATTACTCTGTAACCCTCTACCTCGAGTACCTCTTGGGCCCTTGTACAGGGTGAAAAAAATATGTATATATATGTAGGGGAGGGATGATATATCAAAAAATATCGTTAATTATTATTCATCAAGGGAAACGCTGAAAATACAGGAAAGCTTAACTTCAAATTTAAATTTTACTTGGCTTTGTTACCGCGAAAGAAAAACACTTTTTAAAGAATGGAGAGTCAACTAAAAATAACGTTTGAAGTAATAAAAACCTGTCACGCTAACACACACACACACGTATATATATATATATATATATATATATATATATATATATATATATATATATATATATATAATGATATAATCCTCATTTACTACCACCTGATGAGACATAATGATATACATCATAAATATGAGTGCATTTATGTAGCGATTTTTTTATACATGTTCTTATGTAATATCCTATAAATAAAAGTATATATATATATATATATATATATATATATATATATATATATATATATATATATAAAATGTGAAAATGTGTACCCTTAATCACTACCTAGGTCTCTACTCTTAGGTGTCATCAGGTACTGGATGAAGTTTAGTTTTTTGGTGCCTGGTAATTCCTCGTAATTTTTGTAAAAAGTATACAAAAAATTATTTTCATCCGTCCGAGTTCGTAAATGCCAAGAGTGTATTTATTTATATGTCTACACTTTGACATTATTTCTCATCGTTTGTTTAGTAGTTGTTTTCTGTCCGGATGTAACACAATAGTCAATTTTTCCTCTTGATACAATCTACAACTGCTGCCTCGATTTCGCTCTGACTTCCCTTTTTTTCAGTATACACCGCCTTACGTCTGGATTTCTCTTACTTTTTTTCATGATTGTAACATATTTTTTTGAAGGGCACTTCGATGCTTCTCACGTAAATCCTTTCTTTTTGTCCATCCACATCTTCAACTTCAGCCTGATAAATTATGTTTTCTCTATTCTGTCCGTTCAATGGACATTTGCTTTTGTCTCTGCAATTACAATATTTGTTGATATCATCATCTACCCTCATAGACTTTGTATTTTGCCCCTTGATAATGTTCTCCAAATTTCCAATACAGCTGTAACTCAGTTTTACAGTGTTGCTGTTGAAAACTTTTGACAGTCCTGAAGGTTTCGGGAAATGTTTTTTGATTACATGAAGGAAAGATTTTCCTATGTTTGATTCCACTTGCAAATTCAGTAGTGGGGGGGTAACCATATTATATTTCTTTTCTTATTTTCTTTGTTATCTTTTGTATTTGCTTGGTTAACTTGGGGATTAAATTTTAGGTCAGTTTTATGCCCCTCTCTCCTCAATGCAATTTTTTCCCTTTCATTAAAGAAAGAATTCCTTGACAATCGGGATTCAATTCCCTTTGGGATTTGTTTGATTACACTATTCGGGTGGTTAGACCTGGTGTTTACGTATTTTAACACTGATTTTTCTTTCATATGTGGTGAGACTGTCTCTTCCAATAAATTGAATTGTCTAAAAATTGAACAAATTTCATATTCATCTCAACGGTAATTTCTAAGTTTTGTTTTCCTAATTACATCGTTAGCTCTTATTTTTAGGCACTATAATCAGTCCGTCGTCTCTGTAGAGACCATGGTTATCTATGTGTACAATCTTGCTGATATTACTTAATATGTACATAACCATTACCTCAGGAATCCCTGTCCCATCATAAGATCCCTAGGCAACATCAAAGGCACATCCGTTTGATTTGATATCCATGATTCTCCGTTATATATTGAGACAGACTTACGGAAATGAAGTATTATGCTCTAATGAAATAGCCAGAAAAACTTTAGCATAATGTAATGCTTCCAGCAGTCCTTGCTTCGAAATGGATGGACAGAAGTTTTTAATATCGTATGTAATGAATATTTGTTTATCTTTTTCACTAATATTAAACCAGGAAATACATTCATATGTTTCCTGCCATTGATTTACCTGTATAAGCACTCTCAACAGATCGCATGTGTTTTGTATTATTTTTCGGCTTATTCTATCCAATGTAGAACAGTTACGAAAATAATCTTTGTGATCTTTGACAGTCAGAAAAGACGGTTTTTCACATATAGTCTGGACTCTATCACTGATGCCCATTTTGTCTGTGATATATTTGGCTTCTTTGTTAATTTCTCCAATACAAAAAGCTTCGTCAGACATTTCCTTTTTGTAAGTTCTCAGGCTCATACTGTATATTTTGGTTTTATCGAGCTTTCCTAAAATGTTCCTTGTTTTATTTATTTATTTCACTTTCGCAGTGAGGTTCATTTAGAACGTGCTTGCATATTTTCTAAACTTTATTCTATCCATTATAACTATTATATCTTTTTCAAAGCCAGATAGTTCTTCCAATACGGGCGGGTGTTTCCTGGATTTAAATTGTGACTTTTCGGTATTCTCCTTGGTAACATATTTATGCAAACCGAAAATGGCTCTCAATCTCATTCTAGCTAGGAATATTTCTATTTTATTTAATAATGTGTACATATAATCATACATACTTGGCAAAGGTACGCTTTTTTTCTTTTTTCGAATGCGTGACCTTGATTTCTTGCATAGTAGATTGCACCACTATTTTCCCACACCCTCTCCCCCTTCAGTAAATCTTCCGGTTCAAAAAAGAATTACGAGGCACTAGAAAACAAAACTTAATTCACCACCTGATGGTAGAAACCTAGACAGTGATTAAGGGTGTACATTTTCACATTTTATAATTTTAATCTAATCTACATATTATATTTTCAGAATAGTGTATTGAGCCTTTTACTTATATTTCTATGTTTAGCCTGGGATTAACCCAGCCAACAGTAAATTTTGTATTCATATATATATATATATATATATATATATATATATATATATATATATATATATATAAAGTATGATGGATAAATTGTCGTCTAAATTACGCAGAAATGAAAATAACACTGACACTCATTTTAACAGATATATTTACCAAAATTGCACAAAAACATCTTGAAATGCTAAAAAATAAATTTATTCAATAAAATTGCCATTAGCTTCAACCATGGAATCCAGACGACTTCGAAATCTCCTACAACTTGTTTGGGAACTAATTTTGTCTAAATACGGATAAATATTTTATTTTTATAGATTATTAAAACGACTAAGGGAAGTAATCACTCATAAATTTACTAACTTAAATTGATTTACCTCCTTGTCACTACAGACGGGACAGGAAATATATAAATAAATACACCGGAAATATATAAATACACAATGATAATTATTATATGGTTTGATTATTATATTTCATTCAGCAAAAAACCTTTAGACTCCAATAAATAATTAATACATCTTATTAGCTTAACTGAGTTAACCTTCGTCTGGTCCATGGCTACTAATCTTGAACCCCCTGTGAGGATCAGACTGACTACAGAACTAATGGACTGTTTTATTAGCTTAATTAGGTATACCTTCGTCTGGTACATGGCTACAAATATTGAGCCCCTGTAAGGATCGAACTGGCTACAGAACTAATGGCTTACTTGATTAGCTTAATAAACTTATAACTGCGGCCACTAAGAAGCAACTTATTTACTAATCGTTGGTCAGTCTACCATAAAGTCACCTATGTAGGATACCAGTGACTCCCTTGCACCAATAAATTGATCTGTCAAACTAGCTTGAGTCATGTTCTTCGAGTATATATAAGGATGTGTTGAAAGTTTTTCTTGGTTGTTCTTATCGGCTTGAGAACGTTTCAGCATCCCCTCTTATATTTATCATCTAGAAAGAATATAAGTATATCTCATGTATATTTCTAAGTGTGTATGAGCTTAAAAAGTCAAAGATAAGTTTGAACTAGATCTGCAACATTGGTTAAGATAGTTGCGTGTTTATCGGTGGTCAGTGTTCGAAACCAATTCAAAGGCTGAATTTCGAATGCTGACTTTAATGTCTATTTAAAAGCCTAAAACGAAACAACAAATTCATCCTATCTTCGTTTCGTATTGAGACATATTCATTGAGAAAGGCATGCGTTTTGTAAACAGAAAAGTGTGTTTTTGACGTAAAAGGAAAGAAAAAATATTTCAAAGTGTTTGATTGGTTAAAAAAACGTTAACCATCTTATTGGTTAAAAAGCATGGAATTGAATTGAATGATGAATGCCCAAGTCCTTGCGAATGATGAACTTTGATTGGCTGTACCGTGCTCGCTGATATCATGACAGACATGTTTTAATTCATCTGCTGTGCAGTTTGTGCATCTTACATTAACACATTGCTCGCCACGTATCGTATGCACTGTATTCACCATATTGTTATTGTTGATGCTGTTTAATTCTCTCATTTTCTCTCGTGACACAGCGAAACATTCGTACCATGGATGGCCTTTTTGCACATGCGCACAATGCGCCGCCGGCGAACGTTACACATTATTATTAATGTTAATTCTCTCTCGCTCTTTCCCGCGCTTTCTCTCTCCCCCTCTCCTTCCTCTCTTGACGTAAGGGTACTTTATGTATCTTTCTCTGGTTCTCTCTTTTTATCTTCTACATCTCCACCTTCTTTCCTGCTAACGTAAGGGTCGCTTCAGTATAGTTCCCCATCTCATGTTTCTTTTTTTTTTTTATTGACGTGAAGGTTCATTCATTTTTCTTTCTTTCTTTCTTTCTTTCTTTTTTCCTCTCAATTTCATTCTTTTTTTCTCTTTCTCAGTCTTTCATTTCCTTCTATAACTGATTACATTTTTTTTAATCACGTAAGAATTTCTTCTCTCTCTATCATTTTTTAATCATTTCACAACAAGGAAGGCAATAAAGCCACTAAGGCGCAAGATATTACTGAGTGTTAAATTATATGTGAGTAATAAAATACTATTAAGGAGAAAGAGTATTAAAAGAACAAAAATTTAAAAGACAGATATTACATTTGATATTATATTATATTTACATTTTTGAAGATCAAAGTTGATTAGCAAGCAAAAAAACCGGAAAAGAGTTCCACAAGCGAGAAGTGTAAGAGAAGGAACTGTTAGCATAGGACTTACGGTAACACCTAGCTATTTCAAATATAAAATAATGAGACCTTGCCGCCAATATGGTACTGTACCTTAAATCCGTAAAGTCTAGGAATCATAGAGAAAAGTTCATCAGAACAATTACCATGAACGTATTTATAGAAAAGGTACAGCGAAGCTACGCTCCAACGGTGAGAAAGTGACTGAAGTCGAGATGCCAGGTCAGAATCAATAATATTGCAGATTCTTCTCTGTATTTTATCAAGAATCTCTAAATACATAACAGAGCCACTAAGCCAGACGTGTAAGCGATATTCAATGCATGGATCAATGGTAGACTATAAATATTTCAAACAGAATCTGGCGAGAAAATTTGCCTAGCACGACACAGAGATTCCAACTTTCCTAGCAGCAGGCCTAGCAATTGATTCAATATAATCTTTCCAATTCATGTCAACGGAAATCCTTAGCCAGAAAAGCCATAATGTGTCTCTCTCCTGGAAATCAAAAAGTATTTAATGTGGATGTAGAATCTTGATTACCCAAGGGCATTAATAGGAAGTGTCTCCGTGTCATAAAACTGATAACCGTGAAAGCTTAGAAAGTTTATTTCTTTCACGATTAATCTATCAGATTTTACATCAAATTATATTATAGAACTCTTTTGTTATTCTTTATTCTCCAAAATTGATTCGTTTTCTACGGCTTATCAACCCTTTGCATGTTATTTAAAGTCGGAATAAGAATTTTAGGGCCGGTGATAATCGTTTAGTGATACAAGTTTTACATAGCTAGGGGAGAAAATGTGGATTTTTCCCAAAGGTATTTGCGTGTAAGGGAATATAACGAACCCAACTGGAATTGAAACTCTACCCCCCCCCAATTAACAATTCCGAGCCATTATCCATTAAACCACCGCACATAAAATCTTACAGCACCTGGTCACTCATCTAGGTAGTGAGCAGTCTCATTGTTGCTTAACTTTCAAAGTGATGTGGCGTTAGCTTTATTCTCCGAAATGCAAATTACGGAGTGTGATGGTTAATAAGTTAGAAATGTAATTACTCCAAGACAGTTCGGCTCTTCTGTGTGTCCTACGAGTCATAGTTACAATTCTTACTTTCTTTTTTCTTTTTTTTTTTTTCAAATCCTTTAGTAACGGTTAAAGTACTCCGGTGATCATCGGTTTAACTGTTACTTTGACAATTCACAAGGTAATGATTTTCATTCCATTTTTTTTTGTTTTTGTTTTTGTTTTTTGTTTTTATTCTCTTTTTACGGTTCCAATACGTAGTCTGCTGATAAAGCAAAGTCTATTATTTAAGAGATTTTCATGATTTTGTTTAAGATAGATCTTCCGGTCTTTTGGGGATAAGCCTTTTAATTTTCAAAGTCCCCAAGAATCTTACTTATCCAGTGTAACATCTGTTTTGTGTTAATGCCATTTGTATGCCTCGTCAAATCAAAACAGGCTTCACCATTTCTTATTCTATCCTCGTTCCTACGCAACCATGTCTACTTTTATACAACTTTTTGCTACATTCACTTAGATGATTTATGGTTTAAGCTTTATCTTCACATTCGTGACCCTTGCTATTTTTTAAAGTCTTGTCCCTTGTGGCTTTTACTTTTATTGTAATTCATTTGTTCAGCGTTGTAGTAATGTACGACAATGCCCAATAAACGAGCTGGGAATTTAAAAATGAGCCTTTAATCGAGCATAACATCTCAAAGCACCAATCAGCCTCAATCAAAATATTTTGGTTTGGGACGAGTGTGGGCTGGGAGATGTCATTTGTGACTTCTTAATCAAGCTGATAAAAGGGAAGAGTTCAAGATCTATGATAGAGGAACAGTCTTGCCAGATAGCTAATCCACAATATTGAGATGTTCGGTCATATTTGGGGAAGTGGAATAGGCTGACAACCTTTCAACACCCTATCGTATACATCGTATACACTCAAATCACATATACTTTCTAGTACTCATAAATACACACACACACATATATAATAGCTCGTATATATATATATAATCTCGTATTCGAGGATACACGTCTACTAGGGCCGCTAGCCAATTCCTATTGCAGACTCTCGCTCAGGCACATTTGTATTTGTTCAACATCCACAGCAACACTGTTCAATACTATGGTTTATACTGCAACTATGCTGAGCAGACCTTAGTTAGAGTTTCTGAGAGAGAGCGTGTTACCTAGCGTGATCAACAATCTGAACAACACCAGCACATTCAAACCCTCGCTCACGACTTGTGACAGTGCTAACACAGCTATCGACGACCCTCAAGAGTTCCGTCTACCCAATTTCACTCACAAGGCTTGGATCAACCCGTGGTATGGTTTTCAGGCACTTTCCAAAGGTGACGCACGCTGGTATCGTCCCCCTCCCAGACCGATAATACGAATTCTGTCACTTATCAAGAGATGCCACGCACATTCGAACTGGTGATGATTATTCCTCTAATCTTCAAATGCACACCTGTTTTTAAGGAACACATCCAGCTGTCACGATCCGAAGCAGCATTCTCCAAATCTTCAAGTGCAATTTGTGCATTTGTCAGTCATAGCTTCAGGCATTCTTTGAGCCTCATATATATATATATATATATATATATATATATATAACATCAACAAAATAGAATACTCGCCAACGGCGTGAAATAGGTAAACCACTGCTAGTGGTGGACTACTTGAACAGCATATTACCCCCACTTATAATAGTGCCCAATGTATTTATGAGGATTGGGACATCCCCATTAGTGTTCATATGCACAGTATATAACATATATATATATATAGGGCTGATGAATTAGATCGTAATTGCGATTCTAATGTAATAAATTATAACCATGGAATATTAGTGTTTAAGCCTTTACATACATATATATATATATATATATATATATATATATATATATATATATATATATATATGCCTTTGATATATCTTACTGTTAATTATTGTTGCTAAGTTGTTTTTCACTAGTATGTTGCCCAATGGAATGCTGTCACTTTTCACTTGATGCTACGCACATTCTCCCCGTCACCAATGCAACTAAACGGCCCCTAGTTTTCTCAGCAAGCTTCTCGCTTTAATAGCACTAAATGCCCCGATTTGTTGACATATTAGTAATTATTAGTCATACTCAACAAGTTCGATATTCATCTTCTTAAGGTAAAAAAGAATAGAAAGCTACCTCCATTTCTATCCATATGTAAAACCGCCCTTTTTCTCTATCTGTCTCTACCTGCCTTTATATATCCATCAGTCTATATATTTCTGAATATGCCTCACTTCATATCTTATCTAACACTATCTCTGTCTATTCGCTAGCATTTATCTATCTGCCAATACAAATTTCCATACACACACATAGATAGATAGATAGATAGATAGATAGATATTTAATAGAGTTCAGCCAATGCAAGGCAGTAAAACCACTGAGACACAAGGGTTACTGGGCGTGGAAGAATTTAAAAATAAAAATGTTGCTAAGGAGCGAGAACGAAACGAAAAGCAATCAGGAGGACGGTAGATAGCGGTTGACATTGCATTTAAATTTTTGCAGATTAAAGTCCGGAGTTTCGTCGACGGACCTCCGGAAATCACTCCGTTCACTCGTCAGCAGATATATGAGTTAGTTACATCCAATGATAGGACCCAAAGAATGTGAGTTCAGTACCTGGTTAAGGCGGTGGAGAAGAGGGGAATTAACAGGGGATAACTGATAACTGACATCCATTAGACATGGCATGTGGAATTAGAACAGTCTAGCGAGCGAAATAAAGGGTTCAGTTCGACATTCCAAGCACCTGAAGAAGGCCGGAGCGTACATCGGCCGAAACGTTGTGATAAATATGTCAACAAAGATGAGGATGATAGTCCAAGCAATGTAAATAGTGTGCATAATACCTCATCTCAGAATTATAGATAGTTATTTTTTCGTTATATCCTTCGATACTTAAGAGTTATTTTTTGCCTCTAATGACGCAATTATTTATAATTAAAATCCATCTTTCTCTCTTGACGCGTCAACGTGACCCTTTCATCTTACTATTCATTTTTTTTTTTTCTAAAGCTCTAAATCCATGTTCTTTTTTTCCCGCTCTATCTTCCTTTTATTCTCTCAAAAATAATTTCTTCTTCACCTTCACCAAGTCTCAGCAGTTTTTCCTGACCCATTCAATATTGCACTTACTTACCCTCTTCTATATCCTTCTTCAAAAAAAAAAAAAAGAAAGACAAAGATTTTTTTTTACAGACAAATCAGCCGATAATCAAAGCGGAGTAGTACTTTTTTTTTAATATTACACGGAAGCGTGCTGTCAGCACATGCGCATCGCTGAGCGGCTTTCACTTCCGGTGTCAAAGTATGAAAGCTGGAGAAGTGGCGTCACCAATATTGACATGGCTGGATTCAGTCTAAAAACCCTGTTTTTTTTTTTTCGTTTTGTTGCGGGGGTCGGGGGCATGCAGGGGGGGTGTTCGCCTCATAGTACAACAGTAATTAACAGGCTATTCTCTCAAAACATTACTACTGTCGTGAGTTGTGTTTTCACGGGATGGCCAGCATTTCTGTCAGACAAAGCTAGACATCATGCATAACTATATATCCATGTTGTCATACAGACAAGGATTTTACTGTAATGTTGTCATAAAAAATGCTAAAAAACATTTTCACTAACCTAGTGGTTGAATCTTACGCGAGCGAGCAACTTAGTTGGA